TCTAGAAGGTTTCATTCAATTTTAATTGAATATGCACATTTGTAACACGTAAGACAATGTTCGATGTGGTGTTTTGTTAATGCGTTTTTAGTAACGACTTACTTTGAATGGTAATTCAAAATTTAAAGGATTGACAATCAATAAGTTAAGCATTGCATAATTTTGTTTGGATCATAATCTCCACATATCTAGTTAAACAATACGGATACAACGTAAAATTAAAAAGTTATACCATTTTTTCGGTGTCCGTTTGATGAAGTAAACAGTCCTTATGTCTAATTAAAAATAAATTAATAGAATAGTTTTTTGAGGTACATTTTTTTATTAAGTGCTTTCCTCTAGTGAAGTCTTGTTAAATTGTTAACTCAATTCTTGGCGGGTTTCTAAAATATTCTGTAAGGTTCATAGATGTTTGGTAATTGTTAATATTTTCGAAATTCTAATATTGTTTTACTGTTCTTTGTTAAAATCAAGCTCAACAATATGTTATAAACATAAAACACATGTGGATCGCATATCCCATGCAATAGTTTCTTAAGAGATGCACGAAATCAAACAAGTAAGCAGCGTTGTTTACATTCACTTTCTTCAGCTCAGAAACTCGTCGTTGGTTTATTTTTTGACTCTCGCATTTCCTTTACGGCTTGTTTCATATCGCCATACGCTTCTTCTAATACACTGAGGAAATTTGACCCTTAACTATAGCATAAAAAAATCATCCAAAAGGTCCAGTGTGCGTCATTTTCGTCCGCTTCGGATTGTACCCAAACTGTACTTAGGCCAGCAACGAATCCAATGGCACAGACAAATCCAAAAGTTGTTAGTGTCAATGACTTCACCACTTGTCTGATGGTTTACTATATTTGAGTAGCGCATTTCTTTCCTTTCGCACTTGGAGTTTTGTTTATTCACTTATTTCTCATCGACACGGTTACGAAAAACGTGCAATATCCGCTGCTAGGAGGGCAAGCAAGTTTTTGGTGGCTCAAAACCAAGAAAGCAACAGAAACACTGCTACTACATATATGCTTAACCAAACCATCTGTCTGTACTGTTCATAGATGTGTGCTTTACGACGAATTTATTACAGGCATGGTTGGCATACTCTTTTAGTTTCTGTTTCCGATCGTTATAGTTTCAATGGTAAGGAAAATGACGACTTCAACAATTGTTTTACCTTTTATCATCAGTTTAAGTAAATCTTTGAGTAGTAATTGTTTTAATGAGGCAGCATCCTAATAATAGCTATTTCGCCCTATAGTATTCTTATCGGTAATTATGCTTGGTCTCAAGAAGCGTTTAGATCGAATTTGACTGCGCACAGCACTAAATTAATTTTGATATCACATGGATGCACTGTGTCAAAAATAATGGTGTAATATTACTTGCCAAAAAAGGACACAATTATCATTAATACAGTGCATGAACTGACATTACGCTGCTTTTACTGCATTTGTTTATTTTTGTGACCATTAAAATTACATGAGATTTTTGACATGATTGAAGTGCTCCTCTTGGATTTAATATTAAAATTTATTTTTTGCTGTGCATGTTCTCGATTGTAATCAGATCTTTTTTTTCGATTCCACCTTTTAATGCACCTAGACAATAGATTGAATATTGCGAATCTATTCACTGAAACACGTGTTTTTATAAACCATAAGTTACTAAAGTAAATGCAACCATCGCAGCGTCAGAAAACAGAAGTAGCGATAATGAAACAGTCCTTAGGGACCATCCATAAAGGATGTAGCATATTTTTGATAAATTTTAGATATCCCCTTCCCCTCGTAGCGTAGATATATGCATGCTTGATCACAACTTCTGAAACCAGCCCCCTCGTTCCTCAAATGATACGTCATGTATTCCTTTATAATACATGTGCTCATGCATACTCCCATTCGTGTTGTTGCAGTATTTATCACTTATCTTGCGGATATGTGTCATTGATAGCAAAACCACATAGTGAAGCTAAAAGTTTCCATAATCTTCTCAGTCAAGCGAGGGGAATTAGTAAGCAATGAAATAAAGCAATGATGAATTCTCGCGTAATATTTTAAAAAGGCCTATCAGCTTTTATTAGAAAAACTTATTAGGTTGTTCCGCCTATTTCCATTGTTGGTCTAGTAATGCCCCTGTTACGCGAATCAAAGCTCACCTATGCAACCCAACAACACCATCGGATAGGGGAAATTCTTTCAATATCGATAGTGTTCTTGGTTTTCTTAGGTTCGTGCGGAAAGGGCAAGTTTTGTTTAACAAAACTGATAGGCCCTTTTTCAAATATTACCCGAGAATTAGTAAATGTGCCTCATGGTACTTTATTCATCGATTACATCACTATGGGGGTTATTCCGAGAGTCGAAGTGACTTTTATCACTAGTGAAGTGAGAAAAGTCACGTCGTGGTGACGTGACTCTCTGTGCAAATCAAATGGAGAGTCACGTCACATTTATTAGCAACATTTTGAAAATTGTCATACTTGTTATTTTAAACATCCAAAGTATTACTACACTAAGAAAATAATACTTTAAACAGACTTCAGCGGTGGCTAGTACAGAAATATTGTAATTTTGAGCGTTACACTGTATGCAGCATGTTTATACTCGTACAGTTGAAACTAGGTAAATGAAAGAGCTAATTCATACGATCTTATCACTGGAAACAGCTATGTACTGAAATAGAAACGACTAGATGAAAATATGCAGATTTGTGTCTTCGCATACGATGTGTAATCTTTGCACCAGAATCAGCACTACGTCAGCCAATGCGTGTATGTGTATCCTCAGCACCGCTACTAAATACGCTGCGATGTTCTCTTGAAACCGAGAACGCCGTCGACTGTCTATTTTAAACGAGCCTTTATTAAAACATAAAAGTTACATAAAGAAATGCATTCACGTAAGACATTATTCTGCCTTCATAAACGGTACATGCATCGTTCCATCAAAAGAGCGTCTGTTTGTTATTGTTGCAATAAGTTTTCTGCTCCCAGTCAGCCTGTTGTTACTGCAAAATGGGAATATCATCACGATGCCTTACGTTTCTTCTTTAAGTTAAAGTGTGTGAAAGGGAGTTCAAGATAGTAGACATGGAAAACAGGGCGAAAATATATTATGCAAATTTTGGTTGGTATCTTGATTGGCCTCCTCTACATACACATCGAAAAGTCACAGTTTGCAACTGTTTTTTATCAGCACTAAAATTTACCTTAAGAGGAAGCTTACCGCTCCGAAAAAAAAGTGTGGATGTTTCTATAAATAATGGAAACAGATCAAGTATTAGGTCCTAAGTAACATTGATCGACTTTCTCTTTCGTTAATAACTTTCGCTTCTTTTATCGATCTGTGTGCTGAAAATACCAGGGAATGTCTTTACATGGCCATAATGATACAAAGGGAAAGTCGATGAAGAGAATCTGCCAATGTTACTTAGGACCTAATGCAATGTTCAGCTTGTGATATCAAAAATAAAAATAAATTCGGTTTGGATGAATCAAATATTCAAGGGTTATTGGTACAATGTTGACCTTGAACGGTTGAGTTTGTAAGAAGTTTGAGTACTTATAGTAAAACGATTTTAATTTGCCTACCTTTTTTAAAATTGTTATTTCTTGTAAAGCAATGAACCAAATGAACTGTTACTTTTTCTGTTTATAGTCAAAGCATTATTATTGAAATCTATGCAACTGAAATCTATATATAGTTTGATTTTATTTTCAATTTCAAGATAATTGAGTAAGTGACCGCCAAGCCGCATAGGTGTTTTTTCGCGACAAACAGTTCCTTCTCCTCTGTTAAAAAAAAATCTTGTATTATAGTGTTTGAGGAGGTATTTTGAAAATCGGAAGTCCTCACCTTGCATCTGAAATTATTTTATCCGTTGACCATATTTTTTGGTAGTTTTTTTTAGTGAGTTTAGTGATTTTTAACTTTTTTCGTTGTGGGTAAACTTTAGTAAATGTTTGAACAATTGAAAGGATAATGTGTTGTCAAGTACATTGGGATCTGCTTCAAGCAATAGAAATTTGAAAAAAAAAAATAAAAAAAATGTGGTCAAATGATGATGATGATGATGATGATGATCCCACCTCTTACCCCTACAAAGGTTTGAGCTGGACGATTTATCTTTAAGATAATTAAATATGACATTTTAACCAGGTTAGCAAACAAAATCGAACTGGTTTCAGTTACAGATATAAATTCCCTTTATAGTTTACAGTTGCTTCAGAAATATTTCATAAAATTTTCTCAAACTTCGTACAAACTCACCAAGAAAGCACAAAACATTACCAATAAACCTTGAATATTTGATCCAACAGTTGTCATTATTTCAGAAATGTTCATGCACATACTGGAATTATTGTTTTTTGGGGTTGAAAAAAATTACAGTATAGTTACTTAATTATAGTCAATACTGTACACACAAAAAAATAATTTTTATGTCACATCAAAGTGGAAAATATGTCGAAAATATGGTTTACTTGCCAAAAAGGACAAAATTATCATTAATACAGTGCATGAACTGACATTACGCTACTTTTACTGAATTTGTTTATTTTTATGGCCATAAAAATTACATGAGATTTTCGACATGATTGAAGTGCATTCTCTTTGATGTAATATCCCGTGTCCTTAGTTTAGTGCATGTCGTATTACTGCTTCACTATTTGGAAATGATGAAGTTTTCGGTTTTTGTGCAATAGTAATCCTTGCCTTTATCGCGTGGAACCCATTCTAATTGAAAGGTCCCGCTATTTTTTTCCCTTTCGAAAAGTTAAAACACCCTCCAAAGGCCCCATCTAGGTGGTTCTCTGTGCAACTCCATGGGGATGCACTCCGATATCCACGGTATTTAATAAAAATCTAAGGAAAAATTAAGATTTTACTTATCTTTTTCGAATATTTTTAGAAACATCAAAACGAACCTGTTTTTTTTTACGTTAGCTTCCCGTTAAGTATAGTCGGCGTAATAGTAATCAAATATTCTTTTCATTTCAGAATTCCAGTCCACTATGGGAAGACTTCATCGCAAAAGCCACAAAATTGCACGCTTGTTTACGGTAAGTCATTTTGTTCTTAGAAATATGTAACAATATTTACAAAAGTAACAATATGCCATACTTGGCCATTTTGTTTCGAAAATTGGCCTACGCTACATGTTTCTTTAGTAAGGAGAAAAGTTTCAAAAGCCTGGCCTATGTATACCCGTCCCCTTGGACTCACCTCTTGCCTGATTCTCCTTGGAACGATATTGCATAGGAGAGGGAGGTCCCTCTCGGCGTTGCTAGTTCGCTGATCGTTTCTTCATTTTCGCTTCAGCTCTGACAAAATTTGTACTACAGCTTTGTTGACGGCATTCCACATCCCTTAGGTAGTTGCCATGCTGAGAGCGAAGAGGCGCGCTTAGCGTTCTATACTAAAGAATTCCTATTATTTATATTATTCCTTACATTCGATTTCACGCTTCCCGCGCCTCTTCGCTCTCAGAATGGCAGCAGCCTTAGTCTCTACGCTTTTCTTGTACAACATTCTCTGTGTTGATGGTCACTCCACTATTTTTCTGTTAACCCAGATCGACGGTTTTAGCCTATGAGTCAATCTACCGTTCTTCGCCTTGTTCTATTTCTGCAGCCATCTGATCATCGACTCCGGTCTCACAATTCGTATTCCTCTGGTTTCCTTCCGCTTGTAGTACTCGCTGTCTTTCGCTAAGGTGAAGGTTTTGTATGCGCTCAAAACCAGCTTCGTTGTTCAGCATCGCTTGATTCCCTTTGGTATAGGTAGTAGGAATCTTCATTCTTTGCATTGGCATTGACTTCCCAGCTGGCGTTATTAAATGCGTTCTTGACGACAATCGTTATCACGGCGCAATATCCATTTCCAACTCCGTTTTTGTTTCGATGACTTCTCGGCCCTCTTTATCACTGTCCGGATTGCATCTTAGATCTTCCTTTCATGTTGAGGATAATCCTTTCCAGTAGTTTTCCAAGTGTATCCAGGAAGCATAAACCTACAGGATGCTGGATCTCCTGAAGGCTTTCCTGCACGGTGTCTCTGGTAGGATAACATTATTTAAAAAAAAAATCTGTATCGGTGAAACACCCACCATACCATAGGCGCCATATTAGTTTCGAAATGTTCTATCGCGTTTCATTTTTCTATTAATTTATTGGGCTTCAGTGGTCGAGAGAGTTATTTTTCAACGTGATTTACACTGAAAAATGCGGAAAAAATAAAAAAAGACCCCCTGATAGAACATTTCCATATTAGTCTCATATGCAAGAGGTGACCCTAAGCTGTCACTTGGTGGGTGTTTCAGCGATACTGTTTTTTTTCTGAAACACCGTGCAAATACAAACACTAATGTATGTATTTTCCATTTGTTGTTGTTGTTGTTTCTTTCTTTGACTTTCAGCCTCCCATGTATCTTCCATCTGGGAAGTGATCATCATCTAGACATTTATGCAGCACCACCCTCAACATGTCCGGGAACGCCTGGATCACCGTTTTTAAAGTAACATTGAACCATGCACTTTCTTCCAGACCAGACTTTCTTCCTTCGCCATTGCTACGAGTTCTTCATTGGAGACTTGTATACCTCAGCGTTGTGCCTCGCTCCATCAATATTCTGGGCGCCGCCTGTTCCTTAGCTCCAGTTTCCTGGCATGGTTGCCCTCGCTAAAGTTAATGTCCACTCGTCCGCATTTGGATCCAAGGAGCCACTGTATACACGGAGAGGTTCTCAAAGAGATCCTCATCGAAAGCCGGTCGATAATACCCTCTTGCGTTGGTACATCTGCTTCCGCAATCTACTACCCCCAAGCATTGAAATCTCCACTGATGATAATCGGTCTCCGTCCAATGAGCTCTTCGGTAAGTCAATTCAACATCTAGTGGAACTGCTCCATTGTCCACCTTGGGTGTGCATAGCAACTGCATACGAATATTCCGTTAATTTTGGTCATCTCAAAACCTTCGTACGAGCTCACAATCACTTCTTGAATTCATAACTTGCATTGCAACCATCCCGACATTTAGTTACCGTTATCGGGAGGAACTCAATACGGCTCTGCCATAATGTCGACATTACAATTTGTTTCTGTTGTGGATTACCACAACAGTTGCTACACTGTATCGCAATAATTGCACACTAAGACTGACACTACGAGCGTCAATTTTTCACAAAATTGAGTCATAACAAACACGAAATTCAGTTCAATCAGACGTACTTTTCGTCGAATAACGAACTTTTCCGTCTCGGAGCACTTAATTTTACGTGACATGTTTGTTTACGACTCATCCTTTATGTCAAAGATGGATTTTGTCACGTGTAACATTATTTATTTCTAAATGCGTGGGTTCTCTATAACTTTTTGGCCGCCATCGCCTTTTTGTATGCTGGGCATTTAAAGACTTCCATGATATGATCGTTTTCGTCCTCCGTTTTGCAGAGCAATGTGACCCTTCTCCAAGCATCTTCTGCCCAGCTCAGATTTATCTTGGCGTTTGCAGTTTCTCTTCCGAAGCATCCCTGCAGTTGCGTGGTATCCCGAGGGGTAGCCTTTAGCGAGCAACTTGTTAGCTGTAGCCGTCGAAAGGCGTATAGCCGTCGTCCCGGTCATCCTTGCGGTTTTTTAGCTCCTCTTCTTCTCCTGGTGTATTCATAATTTTTTATACTCTTGAATTATAATTCTTGCAATAATTTATCATTTGAACCATAGTTTAAGTTTTAGTTTAGGTAAAAAAATCGAATACATACATACATACGCCACACGTTTAATATTGCTCACCTTTTTTCCCTATTACAGAGCTGCGATACAAGCATTGGCAGTCTACTTGGAAGCATTTCAAAAAATTGCCGATGCCGCTACCAACTCTAAAGGTAAGCATTTTTACTTTATTTGAGAATCTAACTTCGGTCATTGGATTTGGTGCGTTTAGTTGTGCACAAACAATATCATATTATAAAGGGATGTTTGCTTTCGTCGATAGTCAATTCGCCGAATTTCTAGTGATGTTTTCTGCATCTGACACAATTAAAAAAAAATCATCGTGTACTTAATTAAACGCCATCGTATGTCATACGGAATTGAAAAATAACTGTCGATTTATTTCAATTCCGTTGACAAAATAACAAAGTAGTATTTTTAAATTTATATTATTTTTATTCAAATTATCCAAGATTGATAATTTGGGCCCATACATAAATTCAGCCATTGACTAAATTTTCAATAGCGACCAAAAATATCCATTATATCCCAAATATCCCAATGATGCGTTCATCTTGATAAAATTGATAAATAGCAGATTTTTAGCGATGGGCCCAATCTTAGATCCATAGGCCTACATTAGAGCCATTTCCCCTACCTATTGCTTTTAGGAAATGAACAAGCAGCTTTTAAAAGAAAGGAAAATAAATGCTTCTAATCTTCGAATCCCAGTTCTGGAACTTTCCAGCCTAATGACCAACCAATGAAAATCAATCGACCTAATGACCGATCGTCGGCGAAATGACACAGGTCGGATGCAATTCCCATTTTGCGACATGTCGTCTAAACATTTGTCGATCATACTTCTCCACGGGTATTTTGAGAGCATTAACTAAGGCTTTCAAAATTCGGGAAATACTGTAAACTAAATATTATAAATATAATGTGTTCTCAATAATTTCGACGAAACTGTTGGCGATGAAATAACCATTGCAAACGAAACCCAAAACAAGACGGGTTCAGTGGTTCAGTGCACCTCTCTGCTCAGCTAGCAGAAGGTCGTGCAATTATATGCTCGTCTATTTAACATACATTTAATTTTGGTTAATTGACAGTAACGTTTATTATGGATACGCACCAATTTCCTCTCTTCCTTTGACATTTTACCTAGGTAAAATTTTGCTAAGTCGCACCGTTTTCGAGATGTAGCGTTTTGAAAGTAGATATTTTTTTAATGTTGGTAAATGCCAGTTCCGAAAATATTTTTTCCCGAAAGATACAATAAAAATGCTCTTAGTGGCTCATCGATATGATCTAAATTATCCGGAATGTGTATGTTTTAAAACAATTTATTTTCTTGCAAATACATATTTTGCTCGTTAGCATATGCAAATACCTTATAATTGCGATTTTTCAAGAATGATCTCTTTTATTTTTACATTGTTGAATTGATATAGTTGTAATAGAAATCCATACTTTAATTCTTAGTAATATCAACAATTTTCTTTTCATTATTACAATTTGAAAATGTCTGACTTATATTTATCTTTCAGAAATAGGAATAAATGAGTGGTATTTTTGAGTTCCTTGAATGGTTATAGCCCTTGAGTATTGTTCGTGGAGCTCGTGCTTATGAGTTTCATATTCTTCAGTAGTTACATAACAAAAGAAAATAGTCAGCTGATCCTCGTTTCGCTTCTGAGCCCAATCGTATGGTTCCCTTGCATTTTTTTTATCGGATGTTCACGTTTTCTAGCTAGACTAGCTCTGGTAGCCATACGTTTCAGTGTTCCTCCATGGACTTTTTCCATGACCTTTTTGGTACGTTTAGAAAGCTGTATACGACAAAAATCACAAATTTTGAATTTACTGTTAAGTTGGTTCTATTCCGCAAAACCCAGATCAACCAATTTCTGTATATTAGTATCCGTGAGATTTCGGCAATTTTTCGAGCAACTTTTTTTAAACACGTTTATGCACTTATAATGAAAAGTATTCATTTTAACTACCACTTCTTCTTCTGAATTACTGAACTTAATCAGGTCACTTTATTATGTTGATTAAAGGGTGATTCGGTCAAAATTTGGTCAAGGGAAAACGCGTGTAAATCGGTGACATCGTTTATTTAAAAAATCAAATTAAATTTCTTTTTCAAGTTCAATTAGTATAAAATTCAGGAAAAATATTCAGTTAGGCTTCCGCTTTTCCAAATCCGAATTGCCGGGCCTTACGCTTGACCCCTGCCATCAGATTTTGTACAGCCACCTTGTCCACCTTCTTCGCCGCAGAAAGCCAGTTTGCCTTGAACTGCTGCTCGCCCTTAGCAGTTTTTTTGGTCTTCTTTAGGTTCCGCTTGACAATAGCCCAGTATTTCTCAATTGGGCGGAGCTCTGGCGTGTTGGGAGGGTTCTTGTCCTTGGGAACCACCTGCACGTTGTTGGCGGCGTACCACTCCATGGCCTTTTTACCGTAATGGCAAGATGCCAAATCCGGCCAAAACAGTACGGAACAACCGTGTTTCTTCAGGAAAGGCAGCAGACGTTTATTCAAACACTCTTTCACGTGAATTTCTTGGTTGACAGTCCTGGAAGCTATGAAAATGCTGCTTTTCAAGCCACAGGTACAGATGGTTTGCCAAACCAGATATTTCTTTGCGAACTTTGACAGTTTCATGTGCTTGAAAACATCTGCTACCTTTCCCCTTCCTTTTGCCGTATAAAACTCCTGTCCCGGAAGCTGCTTGTAGTCGGCTTTGACGTAGGTTTCGTCGTCCATTACCACGCAGTCAAACTTCGTCAGCATCGTCGTGTACAGCCTCCGGGATCGCGCTTTGGCCGTCGTATTTTGTTTATCATCGCGATTTGGAGTCACTACCTTCTTGTAAGTCGATAGTCCGGCTCGTTTTTTGGCTCGATGCACGGTTGTAGACGATACACCCAGCTTATTTGCGGCATCTCGGAGAGAGAGGTTAGGGTTTCGCTTGAAACTACCGGCAACTCTCTTTGTCGTCTCAGCGGCTTCCGGTTTTCGATTTCCCCCCGATCCAGACTTCCTGGCTGTCGACAAACGTTCCCCAAACACTTTAATTACATTTGTAACGGTTGATTTGGCAACTTTTAGCAATTTTGCCAACTTTGCGTGCGAGTAGCTCGGATTTTCGCGATGCGCGAGCAAAATTTTGATACGCTGCTCTTCTTGCTTGGACGGCATTTTGACAACTGAAGAGTGAATTCCAAAATCAAAATAGGAGCAACATTCTACACACACACACCTTCAAAATGAGGGGTGTTCAGGTTTTTTAAATGCAAAATTGAAAGAAATACGTCAAGTTGAAATTGACCAAATTTTGACCGTATCACCCTTTACGTGTCAGATTTGGCTTATATATGGACGTAGGTAATTCAAAACCAACCCACTTGGTACCATGAATTGCCTAGCAACAAGTTTATGAGGTCTATGTCTATGAGGTGCATGAAAAAAGATCGCGTTGTTTTATTTTTATATTTTAGAAGACATTTAATATATTGATGAGCCACCAAGAGCATTTTTATTGTAAAAGTTTCTGATCTTTCCGAAAAAAAATATTGTCGGAACTGGAGAACCGCGAAATACATTTAAAAATTGCCAAAAACTACCAACAGTTTTAAAATATATACTTTCAAACCGCTACATCTCGAAAACGGTGTGACTTAGAAACAAATTACCTAGGTGCTTTTTTATTGTAAATTGTGTGTTCTTTCATTATAAAAAATCGAAAAAGTAATTGGACCAAGTTTTTGATATTTTTCCAAAAACTTGAGTTTAAAAAAAAAATCTGAACTCCATCTTGACGAGAAAAAATGTTTTTAAGATTTTATTTGAAATTTAAAAAAAAGTTGGGTATTTTTTTTTAGAGTGCATATTTTTTTTCAAATAGTCTCATCTATTATCTGCAATATTGCCGAAGACACCAAACCGATCGGGCAAAAAGTTTTCGAGTAAAAATTTTCTGAATTTGAGCTTGATATTTTTCTATAGGCTCTTTTCAAAAGGCTGGATTCAAATTGGCGATATGAAGATGCACAATGGCATAGTCGGTCATAAGGAACGTTTCAGTAAATTAAAATGACTAATAAATGATTAGGCGAAGGAGGGGCATAGTGAACATGTGAGGTATAGTGAGCATCCCGCACATTGGCTCTGGATTTCCAGCTGCATGAAACAAATCAACTGGTAGTAGGATCAATATCATTTTGCCCCTCTTACTCCTACTGTATATTTTTGTTTCTTCTGGAATGAGGCGAAAATTGGGCAAAATGGGACTCTTCCTGAGGTCTGCACAAGATGAAACCATCACCATTCGATTTCCGCATTTGTTTTACATAAGATAAGGAATTTTGCAGAGCTCTTATGCAGCTGGTACAGGTTGGGTCCCTCTTTTTCCGCTATACAGGGTGCGTGACGAATTTTTGCAGTAAATGATATAGCTATTCTAGCAATGAATGTTATGTGATTTATTTTCTTTCGCAAAATATGGAAGTTGTAACTAATTTTATTGAAAAAAAATCGCCTTCCCTTTCGACGACTGTAGCGAGACGCTTCCGGAAACTGCCATATGCACGTTTGACAATGTTTTAATCCATAGATGTCATCACTACCTTGATTTTAGCTTTTAGGGACTTAAGTGTGGTGTTAGGGGTTCTATTGGTATTCCGTTCGACGATGCCCCGTACAAAATAATCCAACGGATTGATATCGGGACTGCTTGGGGGCCAAATTTCTTTCTCCCAAAATTCCGAAATATTTTCCGCAAGCCATTTCTGTGTTTTATTAGCAGTATGAGCAGGTTCTCCATTTTATCACTTTCCCAGGCCTTTTTTTTATATTATACACTGTTCTTTCAGACACATTTATCCACCGAATTATTTCTATTACGCTTACTCCGGCGCGCAACAAAGCGACAGCGGCTGGCCGATTGCTCTTTTGTTTCGACATCTTTACGTTTACTCAACACTGTTTGTTTACATCTTACACCTAATAGTATGAGCAATTCAGTGCTGCCAAATATATCTAAATCATGATCCGCAAGCATGAGAAATTACTATTTGAAATTTACTGCAAAAATTCGTCACGCACCCTGTACATACAATGGTTGGAAAGATCCACTATTTATCTACCATTTGCATGGAAGTTT